CGCGGTGTGTGTATGGTCTTCGAGGGTGAACGCCCTCGGAAAGCACTCGTGGCCTGTGAATCGTCAGGCTGAGCAGTCTGACCAAGACTGGTACTAGGAGCCTGCCCCTTCTCCGGGCATGCCTCCTGGGTGCCAAGGTGCACAAAGGCACTGGAGGCGAAACTCTCACACGAAACATCATGCTGAGCGCGGTTAAGACCGCATGCCTGCTCCGGGAGGGTATGGGAGATCACTCCATCTGGCGGAGCACTCGGATGCTCACCGTTAGAGTGTGGCTGGAGAGCTATATGCTCAGTCGAAATCCCAGCAGAGGGGAGATGAGTAGGCAATTCCTTTTTCGAGGAAGCGGTGGCAGGAGATGGCCTCATCTCCAGAGAGCAATCCTGGCTATGGGAGTGGACAGGCAAAAGGACATCATCACAAATGCTGTCCGGAGATAAATGGGTGGTCGGGCCAGTGGGTAGAGTGACCGGCTGCTCTAAATCATCTACGAGAAGGTCGTCATCATCTAAAAGGCCAAGGTCTGGGAGACAGTGTGGGTCCGAGGAGGAAGGCTCAGCCTCATCCTTCGACTCAGGAGAGAGGGGAGCAAAGAACGAATGTTTGGCCTTGAAGGCCGACTGAAGAGTATCTCTAGGGAGGAAGCCCGTGGCCTTGGCCTTGGGCCCAACTAAGATCCAATGGTCAGACTGGTCAGGATGAGCATCCTTTCCAGTTTGGGCAGTGGCGTCCATCTTCGCCTTGCCCTTATCCGAGGCCCCCTTTGGGGGCCCGGGTGCCTGGAGGGGGCCTTTGCCCTTTCCCTTCGGTTCCCTCCGACTGTCGGAGGGTCCCGGCTGGGCCGTACGACGGCGCGGAGGCAGAGAGGGACGTGGCTTATTGCCACTAATATAGCAGTCGGTCGCAGTATGACCAACATGTCTGCACGCAGTACAGAAAGCGGGGATCTTCTCGTAGATCACCCGCTGAACAAAGGACTCGGAGCCCTGCTCAATCTCGATCTCATGAACGAGCTCCGTTCTGAGATCTATCTCGACGCAAAATCGCGCCACGCTAACCCTCGTCTGAAGGGCCGTGTGGGCGTCAATACGAATCGGCTGCCCAATACACTTAGCAAGTGTAGTGATGGCAGCACGGTCGTAGAGGTGGGGTGGGAGGCCCAGAAGGCGGCACCAAACAGGGACAATCGGCGCCTCCGTCTTTGGGTTAAACCCGACATAGTATTTGAATACCCTAGCTGGGCATCCACATAGATGAATCAAGGTCTTAAGCCAGACCTCATTATAATCCTCAATGAGGTGGAAGGTCACTAGAAGATGGTTAAAGTTGAACCACTTCGATGATACACTACCCTTAAAACCCAATTTCCTTAATCCAGCAGATATATCTCGAGGGGCGGGGATAGCATAAGAGAACTTAAATACCAGGGTGTTATCTAGTTTACCTGACAAGTCGCCAGATTCGGCGTCAGTGAAACGGGCCTTCACTTTGTTATCCTCCGAGCGGGTGATGGTACCATAAGCATGTTCGTAATTCCCGTCAAATGGGTAATCTTTCGGTGTTGGGCTCGCGGAACTCGAGTCTCCATTTTTCTTTCCCGTAACGGCCTCCCGAAATGAGACCGGGCCCGTGGAGGCGCCCGGTTGAGGCCCGGGTGCATGGGGGTTGACCGTGGTGGTGGGCATTGCGGATGTTTCGTTTGGAGACGGTCCATTCGAGCCGCCGGCATGTTGGGGTCCAGTTGTTTTGCCGGCGCCGCTACCGGAGCTTGGCAGTTGGTCATCGCCTGCCGGTGGACTCTCGGTATCGATGAGATCGGTTGGGGAAGGAGAGTTAGGGGGGCCTGTGGTTCCGAACTGATGGTGCGGGATGGGTTGTTTGGAAGTGTCTGTCGGTCGTGCCCCTGTCGTAACCACCGCGCCATCTTCTCGAACGTAAAGAATGGTAGGCTCAAAGGCTCCAGTATTAATGGTTGGTGCTCCTGGTAACTGTTCGGGCTGGGGAGCTGGGTTAGTTCCAATATTTCCAAAAGAAGTAACTAACGCCGAGGCAGTATTGGAATCTGCCGGCTTAGGTTTTTCGGTGGCAGAGGCAATGCCGGAGCCGGCATCAGAGCAAGGCGGATGAGGTTGAACCGGCTGGCTGTTGGTGGCTGGGGTCATTATAACGGCCGTGGTGTGTTGGTTGAAGGAGACGGGCTGGGGGATGGAACTGGGCTGCAAATTTAGATCGGAAATTATAGGCTGGGGTTGGTTTAGAAGGCCTTTAGTGACCCCAGATGTGGGCCCAAGATTATTATGGCCGAAGGAAATGCTGGGCCAAGATATCTGGTTGTGCGAGGTAGGTTGAGAGGTAAAGAAGGTGGTTCGTGGGCCGGTTGTAGTTTGAAGGGGGATTATGGGCTGAGAGGAGGATGGCCCAAGAGGCCCACATGCTGAGGTGGGATTAGGATTATGGATAATGGGCTGAGGGTAGTTGATAATGGCCTGGGAAGAAGGCCCAACAGGAGAGAAAACTGACCTGCGATCGTGATCGACCACGTGTCCTGGGAGTTGAGGGGCAAATTCACCACCGTCCACGTGTCTTTTGAGCTGAGGGTTGGGGACGCCGCCAGCAGATGACAAGGCGGAGGTAAACGGCGTTTGCTATACCGGTGGGAGGAGCGACTCCGAACTAGAAATCTCAGGCAGACATCCAACGCGATTCTCTGAGATCAATCCGCTCATGTCGGTGGCCATCTGATTTTGACTTAACTGACCTTCTCTTTTTGAATTAACTAGGTGCAAGAGATTTGTTGGGTTCGTCTTCCCAGTCAAAGAGGCAGAAACTGTAATAGCTGTCGCTGGGGGAAAATCACCGGTGGGGGTTGTTTCTGCAAGTGGGCCAGAAACCATGGACGGGAGGTGTGGGATCGAAGAAAACCCTTCTGATGAACTCGTAAATCTGCTATCCAAAAAAGCCAGGAGGGCTTTACCGATTTCTGGGTGCGAAAGTAATTGAGAGACATTTATCGGCGAGGTACTGGACAGAGGCGGGGAGTTGACTGGTGGAGGAGTCGATGCGGTGAGGTTAGGCGGTGGAGGAGCGGACGGCAACATGTCAGGCGGTCGGAGAAGGTGGAGAGGGTAGAGAGAGAAACGTAGAGAGATGGGAGAGCATTTTTCTATGTTGTATCTTGCTGCTAACTTAGTATCTTGCTGCTAAGTTAGTTATATAATGATGCTAGGTTAGTTGTATCTTGCTGCTAGGTTAGTTGTGTGATACTGCTAGGTTAGTTCTCTGATGGTGCTAGGTTACTAGTTGCTATGTTAGTTGTATCTTGCTTCTAAGTTAATTATATGATGTTGCTAGGTTTGTTGTATCTTGCTGCTAGGATAGTTCTCTGATGGTGCTAGGTTACTAGTTGTTAGGTTAGTTGTATCTTGTTGCTAAGTTTTTTTTTTTTTTTTTTT